TACGGCAAAAAGACGATCACCCAACATCCAACACTTCCACACGGCCAACCCCTACACACCCAAACAGATCACGCACAACACAGCCAGAGAATATGACTGGCATCTAGCACTCAACCACGCGCCCCCCAAAGCGCTACAGCGCATGGCAAAAGAACGAACCATTCCCAACCTTCCGCCAAGCCTCCAAGGCGCGCCTCCCCCCATCAGTTTCTCCTCGTGCGCACACGCTAGGCAACAACCCCAACCACACCAGCTCGCACACCACTCCCAGCAGATAGCGGAACAGCTCAGCTCGGACACCTGCGGCCCAATCTCCCCACCCTCGACCCATGGAAACGAACACATCTTCACATGCATTGACACAGCGAGTCGGTATCTCGTCACATACTACCTACGACGCCGACAGGAGGTCAACACAATAATTCCCCAACTATTCAAAACCCTAGCCATACAAAACAAACTCCCGATCGCATACAGAACGGACAACGCCAGGGAATTCACATCGTCACATGCCAAGGCCACGTACAGTTCGCACGGCATACAGCACATCACAAACACGCCCCATCAACCACAAGAGAACTCAATAGCAGAGAGGATCAATAAGACGCTCTTCACAAATGCGCGCGCCGCGTTACACCACGCCGATCTCCCACCAAAATTCTGGGAAGATGCAGTACGAGATGTAGCCTTCAAATACAACATCATGCGGCATAGCGCCACCCAACAAAGTCCATGGACACTCTGGCACGGTCGCCCAGCCCACATGACCCGCATCTTCGCATTCGGGCAAATCGGCACCGCCCCCATACACGCCCACAAAACCAAACTACAAGGGCGCAGCGAACCCGCAAGATATATGTACCCTATATCGGAAACCCACGTCATGACCCTCACTATACACAACCCCCGATACCGCATCATCAGGGCAATCGACTTCCGACCATACGCCAGGCACCAGGACCCCAAGCACACGTCCAGCCGAGCTTTCAATGTCACAACCCCACGACACAAAAAGCGCCAAGGCACGCGCACACCAACAAGACACAACCCACTGCCCAGCAAAATCGACGCCACCACCACCGCTCCCCGGCACGTACAAGCAGCGCGCAAATACCCGGACGCCCAACAATGGGCAGCAGCACACAACGACGAGCTAGACACCCTAGACAAACAGCGCACTATCAAATGGATCCCAGCGACAAAAGTGCCGCCCAATGAGAAGCTCATGCCATTAACCATGACATACCGGTACAAGCGCGCACCCGACGGCAAAGTCGCGAAACGCAAAGCCCGTTGCTCTATACGAGGCGACCGCATGAAGGCAGGACAGCACTTCGACCCAAAGAAAACATCCACATTCATGGCCGAAAAGACATCTGTACGCACCTTACTCGCAATTGCCGCAGCAAACCAATGGCCCGTACAATACATGGACATCACCGCAGCATACCTCCATGAGTCCCACGACCAAAACTTCCCCGTCTACGTCCACCAGCACCCACGATTTGACGGCACAATGAAACATCCCCACCAAGCGGGACAGCTTCTCGGCAACCTCTACGGAGGCCGCTCAGCAGGACATCGCTACACATCCGGACTGCAAAAACACCTAAAATCGCACGGCTACCGCCAATGCGACAGTGACCCCTGCCAGTTCACCAGCGTCAAGGCCGACGGCACGCTGCTCGTCACCGTCAGCATGGACGATTTTTTAGTTACCGCGACGAACCAACGTCTAATCGACGACCTCCTGGCCACGCTGCAGAAGAAGTACACCATCAAGAACCTCGGTTTTCCAACCACGTATCTCGGTTGGCAGATCAGACGAGATGCACAAGGCAGCATACACGTATCACAACAACAGGCCATCGAAACTATTCTCCAGAAGCACAACATGGCCGAATGCAACCCCAAAACCACACCCGCGCGGCAAAAACCAAACAAAACAACACTGAACGAGACGGCACCCACTTCCCCCACCCTAGCCAGCCACTATCGCTCCATCCTCGGAGACCTGAGATATGTCGTCGACAGCACTCGATATGACGCATATCATACCACCAACCAGCTCACACGTCACAGCCAGCAACCGACACAAGCAAACTGGCATCAGCTCAAATGGTTACTACGGTATCTCAAGGGCACCAAGGCCCAAACCATATCCTACCACGCCAGCTCACCCGTCTGCCTCCGAACGTACAGCGACGCCGACTACGCAAACGCGAAAAGTCGCAAGTCACTCACAGGAATTATCCACACAATCGGGCACTCACTGATAGCATGGACCTCCTCTCCGCAAGACGTCGTGGCCCTATCTACATGTGAAGCTGAATATATAGCTGCCTCCCGCGCAGCTCAACAAACACTATGGCTCCGCCGACTGCTCGCGGACATGCAGCACCCCCAACAACATCCCACCACCATCTTCATAGATAACAAATCAACGATCCAGATAGCCGAAAACTCGGCCCCCACACGTCGCCGCAAACTCATCGATGTGAGGCACCACCACCTCCAGCATCACATTCAGATCGCGAACATAGCAGCAGAGCACATCCCCACCGTGCACAACCCCGCCGACCTGTTCACCAAAGCGCTAGGCCCCATTCGGTTCAAGGAGCTGTGTCAAATCATCCAACCAAACGGCACCCGCAGCCCGGATCCAAGAGCACACCCCAGCTCCACATCCGCGCGCACCCCTCAGCGTCCCCTGGGACTGACGGACCGCAAATCTCTTCATCAGACGCTGAAGGGTGCACGCGTCACGGACCGCAAGGACAGACTGTCCGCATTACAGTCTGTCACACGCGGTACTTAGACCCACGAGACGGCGACGACGAGTAAAGACCGAACCATGAGGATTACGATTTATCACGAAGAACACAAAGTCTGTACGATGATGATGGTGAACCTCAGTGTTTTGCTCAAAGAGGGTACCGAGGAGTAGAGCGTGACGCGGTGCGAGCTATGGAGCTGTATGAGCGCGCTATTGAGAAGGGTGACGACGTCGATGCGATGTCGAACTGTTACGTGTCCCCGGCCCGGTGTAACTAATTAGAAAATTTAGTGAAATAATTGTACAAATTTACTGGAAGAATTACCTTCTATATAAATAAAAGCCGTCGCTTCGCTGTTCCCCGCTCACGAATTTTCGCAGTTTATTCAAACGTTTACCGCGCTTTCTCCTCTCCACTCTGCAGCGACGTAACAACATTCGCTGCTCCGGCTCCGTACCTCGCCCACCGAGGTAAATTTAGTTTGTGGTGTTGTATCGAGTCGAGGGGGGCGTACCACTCTTCAGTCATTTTTATGGCTGAAAGAAGGGACCGACCTGCTCTTTGCTTTATGGCGTAGTCAGGGCCGATCCTCCGACCGTGCGGGGGTTTCATCATGGGACCCGAGGGTTGAGTATGTGCTACCACAATGACTAGGTGCTCATTTGTCACTACCACGTCGTCCGGGCGCATTTCTCGATGCGCATGGAACGCTACTCATGTGTGTGGAAGGTGTGAAACGCACTGTCCGTGCCCCAAGTGCGTGGTCGGAGACTGTCACGCAGTGCGAAGCTGCACGTGCTGCTGACGATGCCGTGAGCATTGTGAGCAGGGCTGCAGGCGCAACAGTTACCATGTTGTTGAAGACCCGCATCCTGTAGTTCGTGCCATTACGCGGGCTATAGAAGGCCAGTCGACTCACTTCGTGAGTCGCGCCGACAGGCATGGACGCGGGGAGCAGGAGCGCGACCTCGCGTCGTCGGCACTCAGCGGCACGCTCACAGACAGCGAGTCGCAAGGTTGGGGGACAGTCGGTGTGTGCGATGCTAGTCGTGGACCGCGCCGCTGAGGTGGTGATGTGTCCCCCCCTGACCCAGATTACCCTTGGTCGCGGCGTAGATCACACAGTAGCGACGACGTCATCGGGACCATTGGTGATGAGGACCCCAAGCCAGAGTACAGTGCCAAAGATTCCATCCGAGTGTTCAACGCTTCCCGGCGGCATATTGCTCTACAGTGGGCTCAGTCCACCAAGTTGTGCCAGGAAGAAGGGCTCTGTCCGATTCCCTGGGATGTATGCGACTTTGGATACGTGCAAAATTTGCATGTCCGGAGACTCTATACCAGGATTGGAGCTATACAACGGTTGGCCATCGGTTTCAGCTTAAATATAGAGGTCTTACGGTTTGGATAGATGCGGTTAGCGACTTAGCTGTATCACTATGGTCGTCTAACATCAAACACGGGTGGCTGAGCTATATGGCTGAGTCCCGAGCTATGTATGATGAGTTCGGCAACCTGGTTGCTGCTGGTGCGGTCCAGCTCGTCGAAGAAGGTGATGCCCCCTTGAGGGATGTCCCGTCGGTCGAGTTCAATGTGCCATTTCCGGCAGTCGGTCGGGCCTTTTATGTTAGGTATCACTCTCGACCTGCTGGTGTGCCGGACGCCTGGCGGTCCATGACTAAGACATTCATGGACACAAAGCCACCTGCCTGGCTGGAGTGCGAATCTTTTTGCCCTTCGTGGTGGCCGCAGGAGTGTTACCACAGTAGGAGACTGACGGTGAACGCGTTTGTTGATGGGACCATCGCACCGGATTGGGACGATTTGGGCGGCGGTAGCGACCTAGCGGTATTCATCGACGAGTTGGGAGAAGGGGTGCACCTGTACGCTTACGTCACTGACCTGTACGACGCCGCCAATGCCGCGAAATGGGTGGATTACGATGGCGATATGCGGTGCGGTCGATGCCGGCAGTCGGGCGTATACGTGGTAGGGTCCGGTGGTAGGAGCGCCTTTGTTGATTCGAGACTGGAGCGTTCACTCAGTCTGATCATGGATGGCGACTGGACGAGTGTGGCCGGCTACCCGAACGTCAGATTTCCTAAAATGGCAGCTTGTTGCAGGGTGGGCAGCGCTCTTTCATGTCTTTATGCCGACAGCTCATACGGCATGTTGGGTAGGTGCAGTAGGACGCCGGCCGTACACGCTATACGTACTATGGCGTTAAGCCCCTACGATATTCCTATGCACCCCGTTGAAAACTGTTTCTTCTCCTTGTTTCGGGAGTGCTGTGACGGGAACGGGTCATCACTCGGGCCCTTGTACGCGGGGCAGATTGTCGCCACCGGCATACTTGACCCAGATGAGCGGAAGCTATGTTCCATACTGGGTCGGAGATGGCTTGCGGCTCGTGACGGGCATATACACATAGTGGCTACTAAGGAGGAGGCGACGTACCGGGCGGATCTTGCAGGTAAGTTTGGCGATGAAGCAGTTGACAACTAAATATGTTATCGCTTGGTATGACGGCTGGTCGGGTGATAGCACCTATACGTGATTTCAGCATGAGTTTTAGAGAGCCTGGAGGTTACGAAGAACCCAGGCAGGCCGTGGGCAGCATCACTCTAAGGTCTAGAGTGTGCGTCAGAATCGCAGAGGGGGAGTCCGGGCAGATATCGATTTTCACCGAAAGCACCAGCCGAGTCACGGTTAGGGAGAGCGTGCATATCACTGCACGGCAGATTGCCCGCAGGACATCTACCACCCCTCGCGACGTTGGGGCCTCAGCAGCTATGCGAAGTGCACGGGACTGGCTCAACCATAATGTCGAAGAGGGGGGCGTGCACATGATACTTGTCCGCGAGTCCCCGCGACGCCGTACAGGCAGTCTTACCGGGTGCCCGAGACACGGCTGTTCCGGGTTAGTCCGACTTCCCGGGGTGTTGATTAGCTGGAAGGGTTGGAGGGCCATCGGGTGCTACCGCTGCTGCGCGTTGTGCTCGGAGGACAAATCGTACCTTTTGCTCAACAAAGGGTGGTCGGCAGTGTCCAACGCCCTAATCCCTGTTTTTGAGGAGGCAATCAAGTCACTTCGGGCCGGCGACCAGGATTCCGCGGACCGGATTTTGACCGAGAATGGAATGCGGACGGCTCGGGCTGCTGGCCTACGGCCAGATACGCTGTGGGCGGACTCACGTGTCATCGTGCAGCATGGGGTCAACGTCCCCGAGACTGACCTGTTCACTGCTGGCCCGGGACATTTCTCGGTCGGGTCGGCCGACGTACGCCACCAGGCTCCTCGCCCCCCAACGACGGATTGTGGCCCAGTACCCGCACGGGAGCTAAGCACGGGTGACAGGGGTGACAGGCTTGGTACTTGGGGTGTAGGAGCGCCACCCGTCAGCTTGAGTCATACGGTCGGCAGCGGAGAGGTCCCCGTGCACCTGGCCGTTGAACAGCCGACCGGGGACACGAGTGGGGCCTCGGACAGGTTCCTTACCCGCCAAAATCGGGTCCCCACCCACAAATCCTCCCCGATCTCATTGCAAATATTTCTAACCTCCTCGCCCGCCGCCCCCGCGCACCATCTTTGTCTACATGGCTCCGTGGCCCACCCCCTGCCGCATGGCTTTCGCCGTCTCGCCGCCGACCCGGCGCGCGCGTCACGTGCTGCGATCTGCATGCCGAGCGCGGCCACTGCGGCGCGTGGGGCTGCGCGGCTGCGCGACGCAGCAAAACATCGCCCCCGCGCACGCGGTGCTGCGCCGCGCGGCCCACTCGCAGGGCCTGGACGTGGCGCGGCTCAACACCCTCGTGCGGCTCACGGATCTGCTGCTGAGCGAGAGCCTTTCCAGTACAACCTCACGGCGATCCGCACGCGCGATGCCGTGCTGCTCAAGCACGTCGTGGACGCGCTGAGCCTGCTACCGGCGCTGGACGCGGAGGCCGCGGCCGCTGCCACCGGGCTGCGCGTCGTCGATTTCGGCACGGGCGCGGGGTTCCCGGGGCTCGTCCTGGCCATCGCGAGGCCGCAGTGGGACGTCACGCTGCTCGAGGCCGCGCGCAAGAAGACGCGCTTCCACGACCTCGTGGAGCGCGAGCTGGCCCTGCCCAACGTTTCGTCCGTGTGGGGGAGGGCAGAGGAGGTCGGGCAGAGTAAGATGCATCGGGGGCGGTATGACGCGGTCGTGGCACGGTCGTTGGCGGAAATGCGCGTTTGCTGCGAACTGTGCGTGCCGCTGGCAAAGGTGGGGGGCGCGTTATTCGCGCAGAAGAGCGTGGGCGCGGGCGCTGAGGAGATCGCCGCCGCGAAGGAGGCCATCAGAAGGCTGGGCGGGAAGCTGGAAAGTGTGCGCGAAGCGTGGCCGTGGGAGTGGATGCAGGGGCAGGGGGAGGAGACGGAAGATGTTGACGGAAGGAAGAAGTGTATTGTGGCCGTAAGAAAGGTGAAGGCTACGCCACGGGCGTTTCTGAGGTTGCCGGGGGTGCCGAAGAAGACGCCTTTGTGAGACATGTGAACGACTCTTCGGGCGTCTCAGCCGGCATCCAACCATCTTCCAGTATCTTTTTACTATGTTCGTCAAAGACGAAACTACAAAGACCTCATCGCTGCACTGGCTACGCGGACGAAACCATGGGATCACTTGACTGCACAAAGGGTAATCATGATTCCAAAACCAAATCAAAATCCTACGCGGTGGCCCTAACATCTGCACGGCAGACACGAATCAGAGAGAGCCCTCCTGAATATAAAGACAACTGTGCAGAGGGAAACAATGTGAGAACTTTAATGTATCGGATGAAGTGGATCAAATCGGTGTAGCTGCTGCACCATTTCCGAGTAGCGTTCTCCTACAGTACTTATAGAAAAGTGTATCGAGGTACACAAAAGGGAAGTGAACCAATGCAGTGGACAAGGTAGCTATGTCTTGACTCACATAGATGCACATGGACGGACAGGTAATTATTGCTATTAGCCACGCAATTATAGTATGATCACAGTGTTGCGGGGCACCGACTACATCAAGTGAGGTGAACACAGAATTACACACTCCCCCGCACTTATTTGTCAACCAAGCGGTGCAGAGGAGCCTCGGCATTCCATCTGTGGAAAGTCAAGTGGAAGTTCACCAGAAAAAAGGGTAAGCTGTAACGGCTGTTTGAGCGGCGAGTCCTTCTTGGTGAGAGGATCGGCTAAGTTCATTGAGCCGGGGATCCAAATAATTTGATTGACGAGCTGTGTTTCGAAATTGTATCTGAGAAGTGCAACATCGGCTCTGATTGACTTGTCTTCTGGTTTACGGCAAGTAGATAAAGAGTTGAACAGGTCTTTGGAGTCGACCAAGACGTGCAGGTGAATTTTCATTCCGAAAAGCTTGGAATAGGCGTCACATAATATCTTGCCTTCTTCTATCACACATCCCGATGCCAATACTTCAGCAGATGCTATTGACTTGACGGGTCGGGCTGAGAGATGTGAACTCCAGGTTATCATGTGCACAATAGACCCTGACTAGAGGTTACCAATCAGCAATCCACCGATAAAACCTAGCTGTCCATGTGTGGACGGCCTACCCGCATCAGCGAAAATAATAAATGTGAGATTCTTGTGACCTTTTTGGACCGGTCTTTTGTAGCAGGAGGTGGCGCCCAGGTGTTTGACGTCTTTGAGTTGGGCAGCTTGCCGCACAAGATCATGCACAGTTGGGGTTCCACCAGTTTGTTGCAGGTGGCTAGATGCAAATGCAGTAAAAGGACTGACGCACATACCGAGGAATCCAAGGGAACCGTTGATAGACTGAAATGCATGCTTCTCTACGGAGTTCAATGGTTCATGAATATCTTTTCGGCGGAGACGCGGAAGACAGTATGGAGTGATTTCTTGCATTTTGTCGTCATTAGAAATATTGATGACAACATTCTCATCTTGTGTGACGGAAATTCCAAAGAACTTTACGTGTCCGGGAAGGTGCACAATTGTGCCTAACGTGTATACAGCTTTGAATTTCTCGATAAATCGTTTCTTATGTTCCTCGGATCCACCAACTAGGATATCAACGACAACTTTTACAGCGAGTAGTACCTGTCGATTTTCATCCTTCAAGTAGAAGACTTGTAGAAAGTGAGCACAGTCCTATTTCCAGAAGCGTGTCATCAGAATGGCGCTGCCACTTTGCGTTCGCATTCACTAAACCATACGTTGCCACGTCCAGAAGCCACACAAATCATCGGTCTTGGCATTCGCGTGGTGGCGTGACGTAAACATCCCTTTCAGCTTTGCCAGATTAAAGAAAGGCACTCTTCACATCTATTTTTGAGACAAACCACCGGTAAATCACACAGATTGACAGCAGAAAGCGGAATCCAACCGGAGGGCAAGATGCAGAATCCGTCTTGAGAGTTGCCTTTTCATTGTCATGATTTCCATGTGGCGCAATGCGTGCTTTACAGAGCCTGGAATCGTCGTCTAGTGTCTTGATCTTGTAGAGGACATGACTTCCAATGACATTTGCATACATAGAAACTTTTGCGCGGTGAACTTTTGTGCAGGAACTGAGGAATGAGGATTCTTCTGTGACGTAGGCGTTGTGAGTCACATGGGTTGGAAGACCTTGTGTCTCATGAAGCATGAATTCTTTGCTTCCGAAACGTGATTCATATGTTTTAAGGTCTTTTTGCATAGAACTAGAGAGAGTCGTGCCTGGCAGGAGTTCGATCCTGGCTGATTGTATCGCAGTACCACCGGGTGCATACGTCAGATAATAGTCCCCTTCGAATGCAGGATGTATCCCAAGATTGTTAATCTCAGAAAAATCATTATTTGAAGTACAAGCAGTTTTCTGAGAATTCCTATCCTGGTCGGAGTGAGAAGGTGCAACAAGCGCTTCAGACAGGTGTTCATCACAAGTATCCATCGCATCCTGAATAATTGCAGTGAGAGTTCTAGATGCAAGAGCGTGGCGGACATCTTCGACAGCTACCTCAAGGACACGTGATCCTTTTCCAGAAAATGTAACTGTTCTAGATGCATTGTCAAATTTTAGAACCGGCTTTGGCTCTGACCATACTCCACGCTTCTCATTTTCATGCTTGACATAAACTTGGACCATATCTCCTGTATTGATGCGATTTTCTTTGATCGAATGGGATCTCATAATCTTATTTAATTTTCTTTTCGCAATCAGATCCTCGTGTGCCTCTCTTATTTCATCGGGAAGTGCAATGCGATGCTTGGTCAGGAATGGTCTGGAATAGCCATGTGCAAGCTCATAGGCGGAGGCTAGGTCGTTCCCATACAGGTCATTTGAGACCCTTACAGCATTAACGGCTAGTAGGGCTTGACTGACAGTGGGATGCTGGCCTGAGAGCCTAAGGTAAACGTCTCTAATGACGCGGTGTTTAGACTCAATAGCGTTTTTGTTATGGCGCCTGGCAGGGATCGGCGCAAACTGAATGTCGTGATACTTCAAGTGGTTTCGAAATTGGTCGGTGTCAAAAGCCTTATCTCTGAAAACTATGCCTGGAGCCCAATACATGTTGATCCAAGCAGTGTCGAAAAGAATTATGGCCTCAGATATTTTTGTTGATTGAACCACAGCTGCAAAAGAGTATCTGGTAGCTTTGTCCATTAAATGAAACATAATTGTTCCGTCAAAAAAAAGATCCACACATACAGCCTCATTGAAATTTGATGTCAGACTGGACAGAGAGACAGGGCGCATTCCCGTTGGGGGTTTCGTGAGGATGCAATGGGGACAGTTTTCCAATATCGATGACAGTAGTAGACGCGATTCATCAGTCCACAGTTGATTCCTTTGCAGCAATGTACGCATGTCAGTGTAACTGGCGTGTCCACATACATGTTCATGAACTCGTTGAAGAATGTGCCTCATATCCAGGGAAGATGCAATAAATGAATCGGGGGATGTCCCAGATGAGTATGCGAAAAGGGCATTTGTATCTGGGTCGTTGATGGAGGCAACTGTTTTGTGAAAGAAACGGCTCAACGGAATATAGCTGTGATCCCCGTGGTCCTCAAGCTGCACATTTGAGATTTGTCTGCCGGAGATATGCTTGAACCGAATGTAATTACCGTTTAGATGAATAATGTCGGTACATTTCGTGACATTCCTGCCAATGACCCATTGGGAGGAGCCTTCAATAACGAGATGTGTTACGTCTACCTGCTCGTTCTGATCAGATCTCATGGACAAAACAATTGTACCAAGAATTCGTCTTCTCATACTCGCATGCGAACCACTTCCGTATTGCCAAAACGGCCGGTCGCGAACTTCTGGTGGTAAAATCCCAAGCTGCCCATTCCATCCAACCATGATTTGTTCCGCGATATCCGTAAGTTGTTGCATGCCTAGGCCACTGTACGGTGCTCCATCATCGACCAACGGTCCTAACATTCCATCGGTGATGTCATGGGATAACGTGCCCATAAAAAAGGCCACGCTTCCAGTTCTGTTTCCGTTTTGCTCTGCATGTTGTGGGAGATGATGTTGGCGTGGATGATGATGTTGGCGTGGATGTGAATGCTTGATGGGACTTTTTGTAGCTGCTGGGCCAGACTTATGACAAATATTATTGTTGGCCCAATGCCCTTTAACGCCACAGGACCTGCATATCGATTTGCTTTTCAAGTCAGCAAGCTCGTGAGGTGCCAGTCTTTTTCGCTGCTTCCGATAACCAGAACGAAAGCGTTGAGCACTGTGCGCATACAGAGTCTCAGTGTAGCTTGATCTTGATTCAGTTGGATTGTCAGAGGAGCGAATGATCGAGGAAACGCTTTCATAGGATATCTTGTCCAGTACTGAATTTTCTGCATCATCTGAGGGTTTCGGAGCGGAAGCGGCTAGTATGGCTATACGTTGGTTGTTATCGATGTTGCAGTTCGCCAACAGCATAAAGGAGACAAGTGAATCCGGTAGAAGAGCATCATGGGTATCAGATGTATCTTTGAAGCGGCAAACAAGGGCGAAAAATCTGGACTCAACGTTTTTGAGAGACTCATTTGATCCTCTTTTCGTCTGCAGTAACCCAGTGAATCTCTCATAGCACTCGGAAACTTTGGAAAGCGGGTCCACTTTGTGAATCAATTTTGCAACTGCGAGTGCACCGTCATCAGCGGTGATAGTATCAGAAGGAATTCGCTTAACAATATCTTTGGCTCTTCCATAAAGTTGCGACTTCAAAACAATGCCTTGAAGGTTGCCAGGTATCTTGTTTGGATTGGTAGCTTGAAGAGCATCGTGAAACTGCTTCCATAGTTGAACTGAATCGAAGTATCCTTCCTGAGAACCCTTCCCATCTGTCCAAGGAGGGGTCTTGATGTCCCAAGAGAATCGAGGACGCGAGGGCAGATCTGGGCCCATAACTGGATATAAAGACAACTGTGGAGAGGGAAACAATGTGAGAACTTTAATGTATCGGATGAGGTGGATCAAATCGGTGTAGCTGCTGCACCATTTCCGAGTAGCGATCTCCTGCAGTACTTATAGAA